ATCAAGTTACATGCTGAAAAAAACAATTACTCATATGGTCAGACACTTCTACATCAGGCAATGTAATTTGTTTCTTCTAGAAATGCCTAAATTATAAATTATCTATGAGAACCAACAAAGAACACTATTTTTTGTAAAATACGCAAATTTGGTCTATTATAATAGAAAATATCTTCAAGTTTATATGGGGTGGCCTTTTCGTATGTAATACAACAAGTGCATCGATGATTATTGAAATACAAATTCCTTTGATTTTGAGAAGCAAATTATGTTGCTTGGCAACCACACGAGCGCATGCATCTAGGCCCTAAAATATCTGCTGGATGTTGATGAATTGGGTCATTGATGAATCGGGTAGTTGATAAGTTTGGCTGTAGATGATTTGGGTCGTTGGTGAGTCGGGAGTTGATGGAATGGAAACGTTGATGAGTTGGATCGTTGAGATGGGTTGTTGATACATTTGGTGTGTTGACGGTATGGGTACGTTGATCAGATGGGTCGTTCATGTGTTTGGTGTTCAGGGAATCGGTACGTTGATGAATTGAGTGCTGAGGGAATGAGTGAGAACGTTGATGAGTTGAGTCATTGAAATAGTTTGACGCGCCAAAGAAGTCCAGGGACGAAAGAGAGATGATGAAGGAGTTCAGTCCTCTGTGCCTAGAGTCTAGCTAGAGTATCTAAACAATTCGGTTTTGCAGATGAGATGACGTCGCTTTCACTCTCATCAAGTCACGAACGATATGACTGACTCCACTTTTGAACAGATACCACCATTTTTTAGCGTGCGCTTGGGATTCCTCTTTTGAATTGACAGTGAGTTGATGATCGCAACATTTATATTGTGCTCTGGGCTCACATTCTTTCTCCGGTCATCTTTTAGGGGCCAAACTATTGATAACCTGGACAGGTTGATGAATAATATCAGATATACATTGAGATAATGACATGGAAATCTCTGCATCTGGTTATATGCATCATGACCCTAAATTAGTGCTGTATGTTGATGAGTTGAGTCGTTGATAAATTTAGTCATCTATAAGTATGACCGTCGATGATTTGGATCGATGATTTGGATCGTTGATGAATTAAGTGTTGATGGAATGAGTATGTTGTGAGTTGGTTCGTTGCTAGAGAATTTGAGCCGTTCATGATTTGGGTCATTGAAGACTTGGATGTTGATGGAATGGGTACTTTGATGGGTGGGATCTTGATGAAATGAATATGATGATATAATGGCTGTGTAGATGATTTTGGTCGTTGATTAGTTGGGTGTTGATGTTATGGGCACGTTGATCGGATGGGTCGTATGGCCGTTCATTATTTGGATTGTTGATGAGTTGGGTCTTGATGAAATGGATAGGTTGATGACTTGGCTTGTTGATCTGGGTTGTTGCTGATTTGAGAGTTGATAAAATGGATGTGTAGATGATTCGGGTCGATATGAGTCTGGTGTTGATAGAATGGATATTAATGCGCTGGGTCGGTGATGGAATGAGCCGTTGATGAGTTGGCTTTTGATGAAATGGATAGGTTGCTGGCTTGGGTTGTTAATTTACTTGAGCCGTTGCTGGGTTGTATGTTCATGACAGCATGTGATATCTGCGAGATGCAATTCTTTCTTCATAGAAAAATGTCAAAGAATGCTAATGAAACAGTGAGATTTAGATCTGACTGCCACTCCTCCGGCTCGGGTTCAATCCCTGCGATGGTAAACTTTTGTTTCATCTTGTACTCTCAAATTATTTTTTTAAAAAGATACTTCTACTCTAGGAAAAAACTTAATGTATGCCGAGTTAGGTTAGATTGTTAGGAAAAAGTCTTTTTTTGTACAGAAAATAGTTTTCCTTCCTTTTATCACGTTATTACGTCTTTAGAATTCAGAGAGCCACCGATGGAAGAAGTATAGCCCGACGCTCGTTGAAAGAATGAGTTTTTCAGCTAAATCTTCGCAGTCGTTATTGTTGAATTCGAATTGTGAATGAATTGCTCAGTAAAACGCAGTAAAACGGTAACGATGAAAATCCTCTCCTGGAAAAAATCAAGTAGTCAGTTTATCTACGAAACCGATTGACCTCATTAGAACACCGTAAAAAAGTCGGCGACCTTTCACTTTTCCATAGATACCTCCATGGGAAATGTTTATCAGTAATATCTGCTATCATTCCATCACTAGCAATACCAGTCAGTCGAACTCGACAAGCCCAGTCAGCACATTCGTTTGTTGTCAACACTTTACCAACACTCGTTCATCTGTCAATCTGCCAATAAAGGTATTCCCAAGGACTTATAACCTCCAAAAGTTGAAAAAATCCAATTCCTGCCTCCTTCCCCTATCCTCCCTAGGTACGCATGATGTTCTTCGAACATTATAGGAATTTCCTTTCGTGCGCTCCAAGAGATAAAAATATATAGGGTGATTTAGGTTACAAGGTACAAACTGATATGGGTGATAGATCTCATCATTTTGATAAAAAATGTGTGTATGAGTATCTGTCCGATCGATCAGTAACGGAGATACAGGTGGTCAAAGTTTGATTATATTTTTCTATTAATTGAAATATCTCGCTCACTTCTGAAGGTATCAATTCGGAATTGAAAAAGCATGGAATTGTTATAGAGCTCATGTTAGTTTGCTAATGTGTGAGAATGTGAACAGCTGTTAGAGCGCTTGGACTTTGAGACGCATTCATTTGTTTTTGTGTTCTGTTGTTGCATTGAAATATTTCTGCTCCAGGTTACCCTCATCCTCTATCTGGTGGTCTGGAAGAGAAATGCATAATAAACATTACTATAAGCAAGGTAGGTAACTAACCTGGTGTGGTGGGTTCAAGTATAACTATATGGAACTGTGATCGTAGTAAATGTTAAGAGTAGATCTCTAAGTGATGTTGTAATGGATGACACGTTATCGACATAGAGAATATAACTACCTATGTGGAAGTGTGATTGTAGTATATGTTAAGAGTAGATAAAGGTGAAACCTCTAATAGACTGACCGATAGTGACAGATGTTTTTTATCATTTTTTACCATTCCAGTCTATAAGTGATGTGATGGATGACACGTCATTGACATTGGGATCGTCAAAGTCCTGGTCTTTCTCCAGATATCAATGCACAATGTTGCTGCAGTTTTCTCCACAAATTGCACTCATCTCCGTGCAAAACAGACTGGTTTTCTTGCAGCCGCAGTTCTTTATGCAGAAGCGCTGAACGACATAAGGTGGGAGAGGTTTTCAGGAGTAGAGAGGTTAGTTGTAGGAATGGACTGTAGGCCCTTAATAGTGTTCCTCCATCTCAATTTCTCAGGTGTCTTTGTGAAGGTGTCCTCGCCCAGCCATATTTGCACCTGCAGATATAGTAGAAGTGGGGGACGTTTGCACATCAGCAACTAGTCCCTAACGAGAACTTTCTGCAAGCCCCAATGTGTTAAATGTGTGAGTGATTGCAGATATCCTTCCTTGATGGAGAATAAATGGGGATTTTTGATGCCGACTTATAGGCAGATGACTTGAACATCATGTATCTCATACCAGACAATGGCTTCCATGAGATCCTCCAAACTTCGTCAGGATTATTAAATACTCTGAGATGGTCTTTTGTGTTACGAAGCTTGTTGGTTATATTATATATATAGAGAGCTTTTGTTTTTTCTAGGCAGAATAAGTCAGACGTTGTGTCACACCTGGTTACAATATGCGCGAAGAATATGTGTTCAATCGTAATGATTGAGGGTGATGCTTGGATGATACACCTTGTTGGGTACTTTCCCTATTTCAGGTTTGAAAAAATAGACGTTGAAAGAAGCCTGTAACCAACTAAAAGGACTAGAAGGTAGACATCCTCGCCTACGACAGTTGATACCTTCTCTTTCCCGTATGTTATTTGAAAGGAAGTATTCTTGGGCGCTGTTGGGGACATGCCTGCAGAGAGGGTTACTTTTACAGAAATTTTGTACGGCAGAGCTCTTACACATCAGGCAGTAAAGTTCGTTTCTTCGAGAATTTCGTAGATTTTGAATTACCTGGGAAAACCGAAGAAGAACGCTATTTTTTGCAAAGTATGCATATTTGGTTAATTCTTAACCTGCTTTAGCTCCTCACTCGTTAGTCCAACATTCACGAGCAAAAGAAATTATTTATAGAAAATTTCATCTACTTCAACTTTCTATAGGATGGTATTTTCGATAAAATGTATAGTTTCCGAGATACGGGCGAAAATACTGAAGAAGGTGCGAAAATTTCGCTGTTTTTTGCGCATATCTCGGAACGCTCCAGTACGGATTCAGCACCCCCAAACACATATACAACCGTAGAGAAACCGACTGCTTGAATTTTTGCACGTGAAGATACCATTTTGTTGGGCTAGAAGGTTGAGTTGAGAAACAGCTTCTCGCTGGAACTTTCAGTATTGGGCTACCTTATGTATATATTCGAAATTATTATCTTTGTTTACTAATTTTTTTTCTTCTGAATCTGACTATTAGAATATTATACATTCGAGTGCCATATAATCACAATAGCCATTCAATTCTGGTATGTCTGTTAAACAGGAACCAATGTAACTGCGAGGGTCTTGGCAAAAACCAAGTTTTTCAATTTAAAAAAATGAGGAAATTAAACCCACATTACCCACCACTTCATTTAAGATAGACAGAAGAAAATAATTAACTCGAAAAATAGCCATTTTTAATGTTTACGAATCATTGCTTGAAACTTCCTATGAGTATTAAATTTAATTCTGAGCATTGTTCTGGAATAACTTTTTTTCTTTCCTGCCATTCACATTCACTTTCCACTTCTTCATATTAATTTTTCAATTTGCTGCTATCGAGGCTGCCATGCAATACTAAATGTGTCAAGATCGATTTTTTCATGTTATCACATGCACAATTATTGTTACCTGAAGTGTGCCTCATATGGTCCATCCTCTTGTGATTCACTACAAAATTTTAGCTACCTTCATCGTTTTACCAGCTCTAATGTTCATTGTTTCTTTTCAGAATGTTCGGAACTCAACTAGGAAACTTCCCAGTAAGTATCCAGGCCTATAAATGAGCTGTGCAAAGTATGAAAGAACTTGAAAGAAGAAGCAAGGTTGAACAAAATTATGAAAATCCGTGAAAATCATTTATTTTCTGATAGTTTGACCATATTCAAGTTTTGGCCCGAAAAGTTCACTATCTTTTACTGAATCATTGAGTAAAGATTCATTCACTTATTAGTTTATTGATCCATATTTCAAGATATCTATTTCGGTAAAATGAAAGCACTTTTCCAGATGATCATAAACAACAATGTGAATAAAGAAACCATTGTTGCAAAAATCTACAGCCATTTGTTAGTGATACCTTAAGAATAATGTCATTTTCAAGGTCCAATATGTCAGCTTGACCTATCAACCTCTATCTGCTGAATTCAGCAATGAAAGACCCTAAAGAAAATGTTGAAGTATACCAGGGTGTTCAGAAACTCTTCTGCCAAACGAAATCTACACATACTAGACATTATTTCATGTCGAATTCATATTAATCACTTAATCCAAAAACTGTTTTAAAACAGTTTTTCTTGTATCTAGTTCCCGAAATGCTGCTTTGCTGATCGAGAACTAGTTCTTCTAACTCGGCTGCGCCTCGTGAAAAAAATGGTCGAGATCATCAAAATATTTCACACAAGAGTTGCAAACCAAATTGTTTACACAAATGTCAAAAGATATTGTTCTAAAATAATAATAATAAGCTAATATGAAAAATAATGTAGGACTGGCTTAAAAAGACTTAATTGTTGTTTTACATTCAGAAATAAATGATTTCTGGGATATTTGTTTGATATAGGACCATAAACGTTAAAATACAAAAATCTCATATACACTCAGATGCAAAAAAACGCAACAACTCAATATTCGGTCAAATTTAAAGTCTCATAACTTTTTAATTTTCGGTTCGATTTTCATAATTTTGTTTCACAAACTGTAGATAAAATGACTGATTCCAACTTGTATATCCAGTCTTGTTGAATGCTGGAGGATTAGTCATTATACAGGGTTGAATGAAAGGTCGTAGTAATACACTAATTTCAAAACTCCCTGTGGAATAATTTCGTTGCCAAATTATTCCAAAAAATAAATTTTTTGTTAGGAACAATTCCTTTTCTACATTTTGACTTTTAATTCATGTCTTTGAGAGCACTGCTTCATTATTAAGAGCGAAATGAACTTGTCACAACAGTTTAATTGGCTTCGAGCATTGTTTTTAAGTGCGGAAAATTGTGCAAAAGCCTTGTTGAAGATGGACGTAATTATGAATATGTTGCAAGAATACTTCATGTTCATCGTACTACCATCAAAAGGGAAGACGCACGTTTCAGACAGACTGGCGTAAATAAGCGTAGGGCTGGTTGTGGCAGAAAACTAAAAATATCCGCTACTAATGAGAGATTTCTGCAAGTTGAAACTCTGCGGGATCGTCACTTAAAATCAGTGCAGTCAACTACAAGGTGTACAAGAGGTACAAATGTAGGTGCAGACCAGCAACTGGACCCAAATTGCTTCCGCGACACCGTGTAGCTAGACTGCAATTTGCCATTGAACATTCAATTTTGAACGCAGAACAATGGAACGATGTTATTTTCACTGACGAATCCAGATTCTGCTTATATTCTCCAGATGGACGGAAAATAGTATGGAGGAGGACCGGAGAAAGATTTGCAGAGTTCACGTTCAGTCTGAGCTGTGGAGGAGATTCAGTAATGGTGTGGGCAGGAATAATCCAGGAGGCCTGCACTGAGTTGGTGGTCATCGATGGACCCTTGACGGCCCACCGATATATTGATGAGATATTTGTAGTGTTTTGTATTAAAACACAATCTTTGTAACTAAGATTCATTACTTCATGATTCCAACAAGAATCTCACAATCATGTTCGATGTCAGGTTAATCAGAATACCGCCAAAAACAGTCCCTGTCATGTGTCATGATGTCAATATTGATAATCGGCAGTGGCTGTATTGTACCGACAACACAGCCACTGGTTGGGTAAGTGACATTGTAGGAACCTCCACATCTACCCCCTAAAGATCCAAGCGATTGGGAGCCCGAATTAGCCGCTTACTTTTACGAACTGCTTCTTGGCTATGCTTAGGGGATTCCCTCTGAATAGGCTCTGAGATGGTACTACTAGTTGAGTTCGGTATTGACATCAGACTGCTTCGATCAGTCTGTGTCGTTCGTTTATGACATCTAGATGTAGGGGAAGTGAATCTCATCCGTTCGGCAATGAAAATCGGAGCGATCCGACGATGATCTTCATGCTCCGATAATTTTGACCGAGCAAAGCGATTAATCTGAATTTGTGAGGTTAACTGTTAAATTGTTCAAATTTAAGTGCGTTGTATCATTTTATTATTCACTTTATGTGAATTTCTTGAGAAAAATAATGTTAAACAACAAATCTAACCACATAAATCCGTTGAGTAACATATGTCTTTACAAAAATTAAAATACTTTTGACAGATTTATCATGACAGCGCTCTGCACCGTTCGTTTATTCCAATTAATCTCTCTAATCCGTGGTCACATGACAAACAAATCCCTCGCATCTCGGATGGAATTGCCGAACTCGACTATTGCCTGAAGGTTCCAGATCATTACTTATTTCGGAAGATCTTGCTATTATGTCGTCACATCACGTTGTACCTTTCAGTGGTTATATTGGCGATGGCTTTATCCTAATGTAGGATAATGCAGGGCCACATACAGCGATGTGTGTTACACAATACCTCGCGGAAGTTGGCATTTAAAAAATAAACTGGCCAACATGTTCACCTGATCTCAACACAATAGAGCATGTATGGGATATGCTTGGTACACGAGTCAGGAATCGCGAAGTAGCTTCGGTTACAGTAAATTAACTACGTATTGCCCTTCAGGAGGAATGGCACAATATCCCTCTGGATGCTATTCATAAACTGATTGACAGTATGAAGCGACGTATGCAGGTAGTTGTAAGAGCTAGAGAAAATAAAACAAAATATTGAGCTAATTTCTTGTAGAGTTTCCGTTTATTAGGATGATTGTCACAGTTTTCAATTTTGAAGTGGAATTGAAGTTTGCATGAATACATGATTTTTTCAAGTTCAAGTTCATTTCGCTCTTAATAATGAACAAGTGCTCATGAAGACATGAATCAAAAGTCGAACTGTAGAAAAAGAATGGTTCCTAACAAAAAATGGTAGTTTGAATGAATTTGGTCACGAAATTATTCCACAGGGTGTTTTGAAATTAGGGTTGTACAACAACCTTTCAATTAACCCTGTATAATTAATAATTTGCCAGCATTTACCAAAAAACTGGATATACAAGTTGAAATTAGTCATTTTATCTACAGTTTTTTGATAAAATTATGAGAATCGAATAGAAAATAAAAAAGTTATGAGACTTTGAATTTGACCGAATATTAACTTGTTGCGTTTTTTTGCATCTGAGTGTAGTTAACATGCAGTGCGCCAAATATGTATTAAGCACATTATTTCGCGCACGGTGTCGTGGTAACGTAGGAAAATAAAAACAGGGTCACTTAGCATTTTGTTATCAATGCGCGAACCTTGTCAACGTTCATAGCAAAATGTTATTTATTATGCAAGGGAAAAAAGTTGTAGATTTTAGCTCAACCTGGAGTTATATTTTTCCCATATATAATACACTATTTTCTTATGTGACAGAAAAAAGGGCGATCGGTATTGAGAAGATATTACATTATAATTATTAAAATCAGAAAATTATCCACGTGAAATTTGAGGTTTCCAACAGGAATGACACCTGCTTCTTCATCATCATCCTTTTGGAGTTATCAAATATCTGTCAGTTTTTTTTCCGTCACAGAAAAATATATCTTTTCATTTCGTTACTCTGCACAGCTTTATGTCTAAGTCTGAATGGTGATATTTTCGAATCTTCTAACCGACCCCATTTCTTGACTAGTTCGCTACGAATATAAATTATACAGAAGAAAATTCTAACGGAAGCATGGATACAAATAATGGGGCTGGCGATAGTAATCAGATAGACAAAACGAAATTGATTGTGAATTACATACCCCAGTTTGCCACAGAAAATGATCTTGCCCAATTGTTTGCCCCAATGGGTCAGGTGGAAAGTATAAAAATAATGAGAGACTTCAAAACTGGATACAGCTTTGGTTTTGGATTCGTCAAATATACTACATCCGAAGATGCCGCTAAAGCCATTGAAGTATTGAACGGTTTCAATTTCAGGTAATATTGGAGTTTTTGCACTTTCAGGACCAAAGGTTTTCAGCCCCTTTGAACAGAATTCTAATCCATATGGACAACAGACCTATTCAATAAAAGGTCGTTTTGGGAGTCGTATACCTAAAGGAATGTATTTGTACATACAGCTTTTGCTGTTCATTAAACTACACTCACCGGCAAAATAAAACGACCACCAGAAAAATTGCCCAAATTGTTCACCCTGTACATTTTATTCAAGATTCATGTTCCGGACTATTAGCCTTGATATTAGTTTCCGTGAAAAGCTGATGACTTGGTCGAACTTGGCTTTATCATGCTTTGGATTGAAGTGTTATTCTTTCATGAAACAATAGTTTTTTATTCACGTCATGATCTTATTTTTGAGAAAAGATACGAGCGTTTTAAGAAAGTATGGCATTTTTCAATTCTTATCAACAATAATCAGAACCTACATATACGATACGTATTGATTAACAACTTAGGAAATTGATATCACTTATTTCCATCTCATTTTCGTAGCACTCACCGGAAAAAACCTTAATTACAATAAACAAACAGCAGATCTTCAATCAATAACGAGTATGCCCTCCTCGAGTTTGAATTACAGCATTCAACCGCGGTGGCATCGAGATGATCAAATTCCTAAAGTAGACATGTAGAATTGCCGAGAGAATTGTCTGAATTTTCATTGAAGGGTGAATCATAGCTCTTGAAGAGTCTCTGACAAGGCCGCACGAAGACGAATGAGTCTCTGGAGTTCATCCCTGAGATACTCTATTGGTTCTAAATTATTGTAAATAGAAATTTGAAAATTCCATACTTCCTTGAATCACTTGTATCTTCTCTTGAATATAAGATATTGAAGTAACTCTGAAATTATAACTACGAAATAGCCACAATGCTCAAAGTGGAATGATATGTTAAATAAATGCAAAAAGCTCAAAGTCATTTCCACACAGTGTTCATAAACTGAACAACAATGGTAGATTTCGGGAGAATAACAACTACTTCCCTGGCTAATGCCACGCAGGATATTGAATTACATCCTCCCGAAATCTATGCATCGACTCGAACAGCATGAATTATTCTTAATAAAAATAAAAAAAAATCTATACTTTCCTTTCTATGAGGCCGGCGTACCTCAGTGCTTCGATGCTTCAATATCGATTCACGTCGAGGTATCGATCGTGTGTTCGAGACCCACGAACGCAGACTTTTTCTGATGGCCTAAGAAAGTGTTTGGGATCACACGTTAAAAGGTAAGGCCCCCGTCATTCCTTGCTCGCACAAGACTTTCGAAGACTTCTGAGGGTTGCTCGTAAGGGGGCAACCGAATGACGGATAGAACAATTTTAGAACAACAATTTTTTTTTTTTTATAACCCTTGTATCTTCTCTTGGGAAGTGGTTATCAACGTGAATCAAAAAACACTGTGTTAAGAAGGGATCACGCATCAATCGAAAACATGATAAAGTTAAGTTTAACCACTCACCTTTGCCACAGGATGTTGAGAAGTTAAGTGTGAAAGAGTAACTTTTGTTTTTGCCTGTATAAGTATCAAGCCACCAGCTTCTCTTAGAAACCAATGTTCAGACCAACATTCTGGAACATGAATATAGAATTTGGTCAGAATTTTACCAAAATTGGACAAAAATTGAGAAAATTACAGGGCGAACAACTTGGCCAAACTTTCTGGTGGCGCCGGTTCTTTTTGCTGGTGAGTGTATACCGGGTGTCCCATTTTAATCTTTATTTGGAAATTTCTCGAAATGTATGCATCTGACAAAAAAATTGCCGAATAAAAGTTGTATGGTATGGAGGGGGACGTCTGGTTATAAAACAAGTTTCACCCCCTGACCCCCAAGGGAGTGGGAAATGGAGGTAACATTGAAATCTCTAATGGAAACCCCTATTTTTTATTGCTGATTCTGGAATAGCATTAAAAACTATGAAGCTTTTATTCAGGAACTTCTTTTTTATTTTCACAAGATGGCGCTGCGATCTTGAAAAACAATATTTTACTATTTAGTTTGTAGTTGGCCACCCAGATCACCCGACTTGACTTCCCCAGACTTCTTTCTGTGGGGTTACATCAAAAACATTGTGTTTCGCGAACCCCCAACCACACGCGAGAATATGAAAGATAGCGCCTGCTATGTTGGAAGCGACAATGCGGAATTTTGAAAAACGAGTGAACTTGTGTATTCAAGAAAATGGAGGTCATTTCGAATACTTGATGAAGTAGTCAATCCCACTTAAAACCAGCTTTAGTCTGACCTAAATGATACCTTAATTGCTGAAACATGCTTATATTTCTCTTTTCTTTGTAGAGGTGTCAAGGTAAGTGAGTTCGTTTAGCGTTAATTTGTCGTGTGAATATCACCCCAATGGCTTTTGTCTGGGAAAATATCACACCCTACACTCTTTCTCGTCGTCAGGGGATTGAAATGTGTAAATAGTGAAATATTGTTTTTTACGATCGCAGCGCCATCTTGTGAAAATAAAAAAGAAGTTCCCGAATAAAAGCTTCATTATTTTTTAATGCACTTCCAGAATCTGCAATAAAAAATAGGGGTTTCCATTAAAGATTTCAATGTTACCTCCATTTCTCACTCCCCTGGGGGTCAGGGGGTGAAACTTGTTTTTTAACCAGACGTCCCCCTCCAAACCATACAACTTTTATTCGTCAATTTTTTTGTCAGATGCATACATTTCGAGAAATTTCCAAATAAAGATTAAAATGGGACACCCGGTATATGAAAATGGGTATTATGTTGACATACCTTCCATATTTGGTTGAGTTTAGGTGTATCTATTCTGCTTTGCACAGAATAGTACGTTCATTAGTAGTAGAGAAGAGATTCAGATGAACATACATCTGATTTTATATACAGGGTGTTGCGAAATTCGACCGACAACGCTTGACAGGTGATAGCCCTCGTGATTTCATAATCACTGATATAGGGACATACGGTCTTCAAGTGTTCAGTTCTCGAGATACAGGGCGTTGAAGTTAAGAAATTGCAATAGTTTTTTCGCAATATCTAAAGAAAAATTGAATATAATGCATTCAAATTCGGTATAAGATTTCATCTTTCAATGGACATTTTTGTTTATTTATTGTGTTGATCTATATGTTATGATTTTGGTGAAAACAAAATAATTCTGGTATATGAAAGATCGACATGTCGCGAGCCTGACAATGAAGAAGTGGCTATTCGAGCCGGTCTATGATTCATAATCAACATTTCATACACTCCTCAAATGGTAGTAGGGGGAATATGTTAATTTTGATGTAATTAATTCACGCGGAAATGGATACAAGTCAAGATTTTTTGCTCAAAATAGAAAATTTGGTAGTTCCTTATCAAGGTCGTGAGGGAACTTATCATCATATCATAAAATATTTTCATTCAAATATATGTGAAAAAAACGCGAGAGTGTTAACCTTCAATCTCGTTTTCCCAAATATGATGATTTAGGACATATACCCCTTTAACCACCCAGTGTAACCATAATTCTAACGAATTTTGATGACAGTTTTTTTGTTGTTGTAACTGTGAATTAATAGGTATAGAGAGTGTTTCCGAAATTGTATACCTAATTAATAGAGTAATAGGATATTGAAGTATAAGTGGATATTTAGCAAGTGTTTTAAAGATCAGTAACCACGAATACTTTACGCTATTTTTTTATTGGTACACTTTGAAATCATAAATATGGAAATAATAGTTGATAATGTAAAATGGTTCAACATTTGTCAGTGATATTTTATTTGACGTTACATGCCTGTCAGATCGATGATTAAAACATTAACCATTCAGACTTCACGTTGCCGTGTGTTGCCGTGGTGATGTCATAAAAAACTGCGTTTTTTAATGTTAGAATTGAAGACGCTGAGGCATTCTTTAAATAATCCAAATACCGGTACCAATAAAAAATAGGCTGCTTGATGATGCAAAACTTCTAGTTTTTTCTTTTCAATAATAATTTTGATGTTGGCACTCTCAAAAGGATGCGTTTGATTGCTTCACGTTGAAAACAAAATGGCGACTACCGCAAAACTATTGCTTTTTCATTTCTACATAATAAGGTGGTCGGAGTTGGTTACGATTACAGCCCAAACATGAAGTCACCATATGGGTTCCTAGGAGGTATGTTGGTAATCGCATAGTGAATTGATATTTATTGCTATGTAGCCTCGAAAGATGTCGAACATCACTTTATCAAAACTACTTCATCCATAGAACGGCTAGGCTCTGGAATTCATTGCCTGAGGAAGTATTCCCAACAACATATAATCGCCAGAAGTTAAAAAAAAATCCAATATCTACCTCCTATCCCTATCCTCCCAAGGAACGCACGATGTTCTTTGAACATTATCGGGATTCCCTTTCGTGCGCTCCAAGCGATAAAAAAAAGACTCCAAAATATTCTGTTCTTTTTTCTGTAGTATTTAATTACTAACATGTTTTGTATGAAACCAGTGGTGACCCACTTAATCAAATGAAAAAACAGAATTGGCGAGTGGACTATCTTTTTTTTGTTTCTTAAATAGAATCATCACTTGAATACATTTCACTCTCATATTTTTTTTAGAATTTTTCGTTCTATTTTTAGGTGCTGAAATCATCAATAATGCCACGATAATTTTTTTTCAACCGGATAGAAATTTACCGCGAGTACCATTTCGTATATAGGGGCAAACCATAGCACAGTTGCCATTTGTTGAAATACGATTGGGAAGAAATATTAGTTATTCAAACATTCATATATTCTCAATTTTGTTTTGGTAATACTCCTATTTAGCAATATGAAATCAATTGTCTCAAAATGTTCCCGTATGATTTGTGGCTTTTATTGCTTATAATACATATGTGTGAATAGTAATTTTATTAATTCACACTAGAGGACATTTGAAGCGGTGAAGGTGACAACACGGCGCGCACGACTTGTGGGCGTGGTCTTATCCCTTCTCAGCATTCAGCACAATGTTGCCAAGT